AAGCCCGGGTCTGCCCCGTGCTCGCTCCCTGCGAGGGGACCCGGCCGCTGCGGCACCACGTCTCCTGCCCAATGTGACTGGGCTTCCCTGTGCCCCCTGTGCCCGCTGTGCCCAGACACACGGGCTGTGTTTCCCTGAGACCCAGCAGAGGCCCCTCGGCCGAGGAACCTGGGGGAGGCCGTTTCTGTAGCAGGAACTTTCAGATCCGCCACCGCCTCCGCAGCACAGGCCCCACCGGCCTCACCCACCAAACCTCACCCTGAGACCCCGGGCAAGCCCTGTGGCCGGGGAGACGCGTTAGTGCTCAGCTCTTGGGCCTTCCCTCTCAGGGCTTTCACAGAGCTGTGCCCGCCCCGCCCCCCAGGCAGCGCCTCTTGGAGCGCTGTTCACGTCTCTTCTCCTTCCCTCTTGGAGGCGCCTGGAGTCCTGGGTTAACTCTCTGGCTCCTGTGGGAAGCAGGTGGGTGCCCCCTTCACAGGCAGGAGGACGCTCCCAGGTGCCGAGGGCTGGGCTGTGCCGGGCGCTGTGCCCCTCCACGCCGTGACCAGTGTCTCCCTGCAGAGCAGGAGCAGGAGCCGCAGCGGCCGGGGTCTGGGGTGACAGAGCTGTCGGCTCTGCAGGGAGCGGCACCCCAGGGCAATGCCTCCCCCCGGCTTAGGGGCAGTTTCTTCTCCACTGTGACCTGTGTGGGAGGAGCCGAGAGCCACCGGCCTGGCTCTGGGGCTGGCCCCCCATTCCAGTGGCAGCCTCCCTGCTGCGCCCGGTCTAGTCCCAGGACAGCAGGGCTCAGGGTGGCCACCGCTGCAGGCTGCAGGCCTCTGCCCAGTCGGTGGGCACGGCCCCTCCTGGGGCCTCTCCCAGCCACAGCCCCTCCCTCGCCTGCTGGTTCTGGCCGAGTGAGCGCACGTTCAGGAGAGGAGGGGAGGAGAAACCTCGACACCTCAGCTCACCACAGTGACAGGCACGCAGCGTGGCTGCCATTCGTCAGCAAGCCCTGCTGCTTCATCAGCGCAGCGCACCCACCTCCGCTCTAAGGAGTGGCTGTCGCAGGGAGCGCTGCCCCGGCCTGGCCGCAGCTGGAGAAGTCAAGTACAAACGTCCTCTGAGGCTGTGTGTGCCTCAGGGAGGAGAGTAGCCACTCGCTTTCTGATTTAAGACGCCCTGACCCCTCACGGCGCCTGCAAGGAAGCCCCCCTCTTCCTTGAGCCCCGTTTTCCTCAGTGGTCCCGTGGGCCTGCTCCTGGCCG